CAAATTCGCTATGCGAGATGTATATAGGTTGGTAGCTATTGTATGTATAAATCCATTGTACTGTTCCTTTTCGAATATGCTGCCCAAATACAATGTACCTTGATGTAAGAAAACTATTATCAAACTTAATTTATTTTAAATGAAAAAAAATGTTCAAACTCAAAAGCGAATGTAAAGCATACCATAGTCAATAATACAATTAACCATAAAATGCATGTACTTTAATAGCATGTCATCAATCTATAATCTTTTTTTCAGGAATTGGATACTGGCTTGGAGCTTACAATTTTAATGAAGATAGGGATCTTGAATGGATCAGCAAACCTTCTGATATAATGCCGTTTACTAACTGGCATCCTGAAGAACCAAATTTGCAGTTGGATGAAAATTGCTTAATTGCATTTAGATGGAATGATTTTAAATGGAATGATTTGAATTGTGCACTTTTAGCACCATATATATGCGAGTTTTAATTTTGTTCTAAATGAAACAACTTAACTACGGTGTAACACAGTGATGAGGGTAGTGTTTCTTATTTTTTTATTTTATTCACATATAGTCGTCACGCGCGTTCGATATTCTAAATTATCAAATACATTTTAATGACGAATTTTAACTACATTACGATAACCAAAAAAATCATCAAATATATGTATGCATTATTTGGGAACTTTCATTTAAGTTACCGTTTTTAATTAATGCCGATTCAGGGCAGCATGAAATTCAAAACCTTTTTTTTTTGTCTTCCAAAAAATCACCTAGTAAATGTTTGATCATGTAAAACATGAACAAAGGTTATCAATATAATATGTTTATGTTCAAAGACAAGATCGCTGTTAGTAAGTAAATGGAAAAGTTCGATAAAACATGCAAAATATTTAACACACAGTTCAAAAGTAAGTAGAACCATAAATAAATAAAGTCAACAGTAGTATACCCTGTTCAAAAGTCATAAATCGATTTAGAGAAAAAAACAAATCCAGGTTACAAACTTATATCGAGAGAAAGCCATCAAATATAAGTGGAAAACGATGTAACAACAGAAACACTGAAGTGCAACAAAAACCAAACGACAATGCAACATACATGGAAACGAACTATCAGATAACAACTGCAATATTCCTGACTTGTAACAGGACATTTTAAGAAAAAATGATAACATAAATCGATGGGAACATATATGTATGTCTTTTTTTCAAATTATCGTTTCAAATACAAATTATATACTTTTTTATCTTGTTTCTGTGTTTTAATGTTGTAACATATTAGATATAAATAAAGGCAACAGTAGTATACCGCTGTTCGAAAGTCATAAATCGATTGAGAGAAAACAAATCCGGGTTACAAACTAAAACTGAGGGAAACACATCAAATATGAGAAGAATCTAACGAGACAACAGAAACACTAAAGTTAAAAAAAAACGGACAATGCAACACACACAAAAATGAACTATAAGATAACAATTGCAATTTTCCTGACTTCGTACAGGACATTTTAAGAAAAAAAAAGGGGGGGTTGAACCTGGTTTTGTGGTTAGCCAAACCTACCGCTTGTATGGCAATGTTAAATATAACACTAAAATGACAACATTACATGTCAGGACTACAATACAAATAAATGGAAGAACATTCAGGACAGAGAAATACACAAATTAACAAATTAACAAAACAATAGAACATTACGACATGCTAATAGTTATTAAAGGTACCAGGCTTATAGAAAACAGTATAATTTTATTCTTAACTTATCCGTATTTACAATGTCGATTATCGTTTTCATTTAAAATACCGAATTCAAAGGCAAACTAAATTAGGGAAAGTTCATGAGAACTGACAAAATTGAGCAAGTGAAAAACAACAGCAGAGGCCGGACTCGATATAGGCAATTTCCCTGTAAAAATTACGGGTTAAAGCTGGTTTAACATGTAGCTAAACCTCTCCATGTTATGACAGTAGTTTATAGTTCCGATATGATGACTCCATTTGGTGAGCAACCCAACTAGGTTAATTTGCCGAAAAGGGATCAGCCAGCCACAACAGAGTAAACGTACATCACTGATATATAACACAACTGAATTCAAAGTAATGTCAAAACGTGATATATTAATAGTTTCTTCTGCGCCGTTCAATTTCACACATTTACGTAACAACAATTAGAACAGATATTCAAGAACGGTCATCTATAGAAAAGTTTAGGAAAATGTAGAACCAGGAATAATCTAAACCATTAAAAGCATTAGCTCTCAATAAAAATCATATTCTGAACTTAATTTATAATTTTATTTAATAATTTATGCAAATATTTTCATTTTTCCCAGCAATTAGTCATCGTGCTTTCAATATCAAGATGTCTACTTAGTAAACAGTGGTTAGGTATACGACGATGAGGTATAAATGCCAATGATACAACTCTCCATCCAAGTCACTATCTGTAAAAGTAAACCATTATTTGTCAAAGTACGGTCTTCAACACGGAGCCTTGGCTCACACGGCAAGCTATAAAGGGCCCCAAAACATAACTAGTGGAAATTCATTCAAACGGGAAAACCAACAGTCTAATTTATATAAAAAACGAGAACGAAAACAATTATGAAGCACATTAATAAACAACAACTACTGAACATCAGGTTCCTGACTTAAACGTTTTAATAGGTACAAACCTTCGCCGTTACCTGAAACAATAGTGTAACATCACAGGACACACTATAAAATATTAATTGAAACGGTTTAACTAAATAAAAAGACATGTGAAAACAAACAAGTGAATATACACTGAACGAATACATTTGATATATTTGATATTCGATTCTTATTTATACGTATATATTTTGTTGAATATAAAAAACGGTAGCAACTGTTGCAGTGACATGTTATGACAATATGTTTTGTCAGATTGCACTATTTTCACCACTGATTTTAACTTTTATTAGAAAAGACATTTTTTTTAAATAAATTACCCCACGTCATGCTATTCTTTTCATTCACGATACATACCATTTTTGTCCGTTTTGTTTGCAAGGCGAAGTTCTATTGAAACACTTAATTGATATAAAAATGCAATAGTACAATAATATTGATATAAGCAGCTCTTAAAAAAAGCAATACGTTATAATAGAATTTTTAGTCTTTCGGTCAATTTTCAGATCTATTCACAAATTGAGTGAATTCAGTACTGTTCAGACTCAGATTTCTGCATTTTAATTGCCTTGAATAACACAATGGTCGTCACTAGTCATGCAAGTGGTATTTGGTTACTATTCTGGAGTACCTGCTTTCGTCACAGGTTTTTGATGTGGATTGTAGTTTTGGATATAACGTTTTATACGACTCGAAAATGTTTCCATTTGTTTATGTTGGTATCTTGTTGATATGGTATTGTCTCGTGATCTGTCTTTTGACGATTTATTGCTAATTTTGTTTCTACTTCTTTCATGATTTCCAAATGGAGCCACACAGGGTTCGTCGACACAAGGTCAATGTCTCCTGCTATGCATGCACAATCCAGCATGCGAGTCAACATTTATTCAAGTTTTTTTTTTAAATCCAGAATAGAATAAAATCGGTACAATTAGAGATAAGACGACTATTCTGGTACATGAAACTGTGAAATAGAATAAAAAGATGTGATATTAGTGCCAATGAGACAAATCTTCACCCAAGTCACAAAATGTAAATAACTAAAGTATATACAAGATCTGCCATCGAACAGCAAACTATTAAGGGTCCAAAAATAATTAGTGCCAACACAATTATAGAAAGGAAAACCAACGGTCTAACCTATAAAAAAAAATAGGAAAGCTATCAATATTAAATCACAGTCATATCGTAGCGGTAAATCTAAATGTGATGGTATTTCTTTCAAATTGTCTTCCCCGATACTCTATTTGTTTCTGTGTAAAGAACACATCTCTATGTATAAACTCATCATATATTTTGTGTACGCTAAACACGTGATTCATCTTAAAAAAGACTGATCAGTGACGTTAGATAAAAAAAAAACATGAAAATACTTCAAAAAGTATTCTGCAAATGAAGTCTGTATGAGCCTTTTCATATTTGAGAATAATACCATTTTACATGCATTCTTATATTTATGTAACGCACATGAAAAATGTTTCTAAATAACCCTGTCTACTGACCTGCCATTAGCAATTGACAAACTTAGAAATACATATCAGAGTCATCGAAATAATTGCCTTGTAAATATCATTAAATTTAAGTTGGGCCTATGGACACATGCTTGCCGTAAACAATGAACGTGTGTTATCAAGCATTAAGTGGTGATTTTCTAGAAGTTCTACACAAATAAAACCACGGATGACTTTTCAACAACTACCATAAAATGATGTTGAGTGTGCAACAGTCAGTAAGTATTCTGGATTAAAACACAAGTATACCGTATGCCAATTCAGGCTTTTAGCTAAAATAGAAAATCAAAACGTTGCGTAATTAATTTATCTAGATTTCTGTGTAGCGTTTTATGCATTTTTAACGTTTGGTTAAAGGTGCGTAATTTGTTTTATGAACGAAACGTTTCAAACCAAAACGCACCAAGATTAAGGGTGAATGAAATTTGATTGGATAATTCAAAGATATAGATAATGTTTAATACTATAAAACTCTGTTAATTGAGCTTATTATTACCTTGACTACGAACGAAAACAAGATAGTATATATGACAATGTGTTAATATTTATTTGCATGAATGCGCTTATCGATTTCAAGGATAATTAACCAAATATTTTTGTTTGGATTAGGGCTCCACAATCACAATCACAATGGTTTAACTCGAATGTTTTTGCTATAAATTGATTAGGATGTAACTAAACCATATGCGTCGACTCAAAACCATCAATTGCAATTGTTAAAGAGCGGATAATTGCAACTAATTAAAAATTTATTACTTTTGAGATATTCCTATTGATTGTAAGCATATAATCTAACTAGAATCTGTACTATTTAAAAGTAGACATTCCCAAGAGTAACCAGAATTAGATAAAACGGAATTTCGTTATGTTTCGAAATATGATGATTATGGAAAGTGATTGTTTAAGAATTTATGTAGTGATGACAGTTGTTATGTTCTGTTCTTCAAGTTCCCATTTTTCGGAATTGACCGAAGTGATTTTTACAGTCCATAGAGAAGAAAGTGTTTTGTCGTCACAATATACAGAGGATGTATACGCAGAGTCATTATCAATGTGCGCTTTGATATGTTTATTACAGGAGAAATGTTGTGTTGCTAGTTTCTATGATAAACCTTCTATTTGTCGACTTGACAAATCGGAAAATTGTTGTGCTGCTATTTTAATTGCTGTTGGATCGAGAGCTTTGAAAAGAAACAAGTTTTGTAAGTTAATTAGAATAAATTGATACCATTGCACACCTTTTGACTTTATCAGGTTCATTAAGTCATTTATGTTTACCCAACAATTTATATTTTATCATCTGAACAAAAATACTGAACTTGACGTTTTCTCTATATATGTATATCGAGAGTATGAATAACACATAATTTAAAATCACGCAAACATTTTTTCCATGATCACACAAATTAAAAAGATATCCATATACTCACAATATTCAGCAACCTTTTTCCCAGGTCAAATGATATACCAAAATATATTATACTAGATATTGGTTCAAAAGCCCGTGATTTGTGTTTTTTTTTTTTTTTTTATGTACTCTCAACCAAAAGATTTAACTTGACGGGAGGGCTCAATTTAAATGGAATTGATATGTATACATTAAATTAGACTATTTACGGGTTTGTAATAACATGAGAAACACGACGGGTGCCACATGTGGAACAGGATCCGCTTAACCTTCATGAGCACCTAAGATCATCCCTAGTTTGTGGTGGGGTTCGTTTTGCTTAGTTATTATTTTTGTATGTGGTGTTTTGTGTACTAATGTTTGTCTTTTTTTTTAGCCATGGCGTGGTCAGTTTATTGTTTATCTATGAGTTTGAATGTTCCTCTGGGATATTTCGTCCCTCGTGTATCAGATATCTAGGCTTCACAAAATTCCATACAAACAACAAAAACTGCGGGCTCATCTGCATGTTCTACAAAGAAATTGTTCATTAAATTGACAAAAAATCTGTCCGAATCTAAAGAAGGTCTTCAGAAAAATTGTGAAACTGTTAATCACCGTAGTGGTATTAGCCATATGTAGATTTAAAAAAACTCGAAAGAATTTCTTGATAATTTTAAATCTCGATCTTTCTCGTAAATTAATTATATCTAAACGTTTGATTTTACAATCCTGTATACAGTCCGTGTAACGTAAAAGTTAACAATACGAACGATGCCCGAATCATGTACGGACGATGCACGAATGATGTACTTTGCTTTCCGAACGGTGTACGAATGCAAACGAAACGCTGAACGAACGTTGTACGGACGCTGAACGAATGATGTACGAACGAAACCATGTACCATAAACCATACAATAAATGATGACATAAGTGCCCTTTTATCGTACATCGTATGGTTTTGCGTACATCGTTTCGTTAAGCGTATATCGTGTCGTTTAGCGTACATCGTTTCTTCGCGTGCAAAGTTTCTTTTAGCGTATATGTTTGGTTTTTTTATATATTAAAACATGAATTGTGTTCTGTTAAATCTTTGTATATACTAGTTGATAATAGGCGTAACATTTAGATTGGATGCATATTTCAGTTTTTAATTAATCATTTAATAAATTATAATTTAATCTGACTCAATGTTGATCAAAAATTATTTACATAAAAGTTTGAAAAATAAACACTGAAATAAATTTAAACAAGTTAAGATACGATTATGAATTTTGTTAGATGTGGAAATAAGTACTAATGAATGTGCTAGTAAACTACAGTCTGCAGGGTATTCGGTCAACATTTTTTTGAAAAAATACTAAGGTATTAACATTCTTTTGATCTAAATCAACAATTCGTTTTAGATGGAATTCTGAATTAATATAATGTTCTTACAAATGTATATTCGGGATCTTAAGGGTTACCTTTTGTTCAAAATGTTTGTTAATTACTTTTATGTATTCTCTTTTATCGAATGTATTTTAACATCGACTGAATAACAGTTTTATTTCTAAGTTTTATCTATATAAAGTATTTAAACCTTTTTTTTTTAGATTATAGATTTATTTTTTATTCATCTATCAAATTAGTCGAAAAAAAAATCAAATATTCGAGAAATTTCAAATAAAAACAATAACCCGTCATGTGCCTCATCAACCCCATACATAAATCCTAACCAATGTACAAACGATAGTGTATTATTGTTACTACAAATGCACTTGATTTTAAACAATCATCAAAAAAGAGCGTGTCCGGCAAATGAAAAATTTCGAATTCTTAAGTGCAATTATAATTGAGCGTCTTCATTTTTGTATTTTCTAACAACAAAACTAGACCATTTTCCTCTATTCTTTAATTTTCCAAGACCATTTTCCTCTTTTTTTTTTTTTTTTTTGCCCGTTATAATCTTTTTTTATTTCATATTTTTTTCTTTATTTTCCTGTATCTATACCCCCTTTATTCAGAGCAACCCCACCCTAAATATACATATGCTACACAGGATTTATAGGTCATCGCTTGTGCCGTGATACACATGTTTGCATAACAAAGGATGTCCTTATTCATATTTATAACATTTAAAATGTCCTACTAATAATACATCTACTAGTTGCAACTGAACGTTAAACAGCTAACTATGAATTCATCCGTCATATTCTCAGTTATGTTATAATGTGTAAATCAAACAACATAATGAAACAATTGCAGATTTTCACTGCAGACATAATAGGAAATAATTGTACACAAAACCACTCAATCACATCCCTACGCCACAAAGTCTAGCTTTTGCACATGTAAATAAATTATTTTCATTAATCTATTTCAAAATATGTTTTAATAATCTTAAATCAAACGATCATTTTACTAATTTGGCAAAAAAAAACCAGCTATTTTTATTTCTTTTTTTAAACAGATCGATTGTTTTTCAATGGTCGGTGCCTGACAGCATTTATAAAATCTATCAGCATTTTTGCCAGTAAGAAAGCTACATAGTCAGGAAAAATTCCAGACTCAAATTTCCAATATCTTTCGTAATGTGGTTCAATGCAAAAAAGGTAACTCTTGAATACTGCATTTATACCCATCAAGCATTTGGGATTAATAACAAATATATGGTAGTCTCTTACTTTACTTGCAACGTATTTGACTAAATTATGTTTTATTGGCTGTAATGAAAATTGCTTATTACTGACGAATGTTAAATATTGATCCCTAGATTTTCAATTTTTTTGTTGTTGGGTTACTGTCTGATTTTGCAATCCTTTCATTTTATGGTAATTATTTTTGGCATCAAATTGCACCAATTTTTTAAAAAGATATTAACGCGACATAACCGTAAGAGAGTCGTTACACTACATAAACTACTAGTATTTCTTTTCCTAAACGCTTTTCGCAATTCGCCTAAGAGTAATTGTGCCTCTCTTTTGACAAAATATGGTCTTGTCTCAAAAATGAATAAATACAATATAATATAGAATAATATATAAAACTTGACTGGAGTTTAAGAGTTGGAAAGTAGGAATTCCGAATTTTAATTGAATGTTCTGAATCTTTGTGTATTTCTGATATATGATTGTACAGACTCAATTTTTGTTTTGTTTTGCTGAAATAAAAGGGCGCCGTCACCAGCCAATAGAAGCAAAATGCATATAGCATATCTTTCTAATTTTAAAAGCAATATTTCTCTTGCTTCTCTGTGCAAAGGGCACTAAAAATAGTGAATACTATCCTCAACTGGATGGCCACAGCTGTATGCGGGATTGGGTTTGATATTAACAAGGTTTAAATCTGCATTTAAAGAACTGCACATATTTCTAAAATGTGTATCAATGTAATTAATGTTATTAAGATGTATATCACCACAACTAAAATAGGAAGTGCATAGCTACGTTTACGTCAAAACCCCGGGCGTGCACATGAATTTTGGAAGAAAAACAATCTAAAAAATTAAAGGAATTGGTAAAAACCACACGAACATTGTTGTTCTTTCTTCGTTGCCATGTAATTGAAGATAGAGTGAACTAAATTTATTTTCAAATCAGATGGTATCATACCGGTATAATAAATTATATATTTGTTAATTTTCTTTCAAAGTCTGAATCTACTGTGAATAAATACTCAGTTTACTATTATTTACAGCGATTTAACACATATAATATCACCATTCCGCATGTGAATTTGAAAAATCGCTAAAAACAAATCCACAATGCTTCTCAATATAAATATGGTAGCATACGCTATACTCTTATTTTTTTGGAATACCATACGGCATATTCTGTTACTAGAGAACAAAAAAGTACAACATGCTACACAGAAAAACAAGTAATCTGTATGACATAGTTGCTTTTCGACAACACATTTGTTGAATTTAGATATGTTTTTTCAACAAATTGTCGGCATTTCTATGAGAACGAACTGTGCACTTCTCCTTGTTGACTTGTTGATATTTTCATACGAGTCGGAGTTCCTTCGGAAACTTGTCAAAAATAAGAAGATCAAAGCAGCCGGATCATTACCTTCACAGTCAGATATATTAATGATGTGTTTTCCATTCACAATCCAAACTTATCTGATTGAGACCCTTAATTAATCCTCTAAAACTAGAAATCAAAGGAAAATTACACGGCTTCCTCTGCTTCATTGTTAGACTTATACTTCGAATTTGACATAAGTGGTGATCTCAGTGCAAAATCGATGACAAACGAGACGATTTTAATATTGAAATCATAAATATCCCTCACCTTAGCACCAATTCAATAACTTCACCTTCATATGGGATATGCATTTCCCAAATCATTCGGTATTAAAGAGATTGCATTTATACCTAGTACGTCTGTTTGTTTTGCTAACACATTATTGTCAATATATTGGAATTCTACGCGATTGTCAGACAAGTGAGAAATTTAGCTGGCAATAAAACCAGGTTTTATCCAACATTTTTTACATTAGCAGATGTATGTTCCAAGTCAGAAATCCAATTGTTTGATGTGTTTGTGGTTTTAAATTTGCCATTGTGTAAAGAACATTTTGTTTTGAATATTCCTTAATGTTCGGTATCTTTCTAATTTTACTTTTTTCTTAGCTAAATACTGATTTTAAATAATTCAAATCACCCCAGTATAGACAGCCTGCTTGATGATGATGAAGATGATGATGACGATGATGATGATGATGATGATGATGATGATGATGATGATGATGATGATGATGATGATGATGATGATGATGATGATGATGATGATGATGATGATGATGATGATGATGATGATGATGATGATGATGATGATGATGATGATGATGATGATGACGATGATGATGACGACAACAAAGATGACGACGACGACGATGACAAGGACGTAGTATTAGAATTGCTTATATATTCGCGTCATTTAAACTCTAGTGTATAATTGTCTAACTAAAAAGCATACCACATATTCTCATTTCTTGTGTTTAAATAAAACATGTAAAAGGATAACACATATTTATTTATTACAGTTCCACCGGAATGCACTGAATGTGTCAGCTTCGGTACGTCTTTGTACAAAATTATTGAAATTGCAGCCACTTGGTCAGAGGCAATGGTAAGGTATTTTTAGAATAACTAATCAAAGAATTCAAATAGAAAAAAATATTCATTGAGTGACCGAACAGACATTAATTGACGAATGCGCATGAATTAATTATCAGTGTTGTTTTGTCACGAGTTGAATATTTTTTCGATATTTGCCTTCTTTGATTAGTTATTCTTTTTATTACATTGCCAAATGGCTTTTTTCGTGAAATTAAAGTAGAAAATGAAAGAAACTATATCTTTTTCTACGCATTATTTGATCCGACGTTATCGACGTCTTGACAACGCCTATTGTTGTATGACGTCAGAGGAGTGAAATAACCAGGTTTATTTCACATGTGATATTGTCGGTTTATAATTCATTACAAACAATGTAATAACATGTTTTAATTGTACATATGTACTTTCCTCAAAGTCTTAATGACCCAAACTTTACTATGACATATCTACTTTTTTATAAAAAATAAAAATCGGAAAAGAAGCAGTTTTTGCTGTTCTATGTACCATGTTGTGTTGCTTTATGTACTTTTATTAACCGAAGTCGTATAAACAACATGTTGTGTTCTACATGATTATTTTTCATAGTATTTTCCTACTGTTTATATTTTTGTATTTTCTATATGTCATTGTTATCATGGTTATCAGTCGATCTTCAATTATTTTTTTCATTTTTATGACTTTTTCGTTGGTTTATGTTTTCTTTACATTTCAATCAAACTATAAGATTGTTCAGGCAAATACAAGGTACACTCATTGCAATTAATATCGAATGTATACACTAAGACTAATTGATGATTGTCTTGTTGTTAATTTTGTAGCCAATTCAATGATTAAGGAAAAACTGCATACATTCCGTGGGTCTAAAGCTCCGGTCCTTCGTTTAGACAGGTCACATCTGATTAAATTGAATCCCGAAAGTGTTAAACTTAATATTCAAGTTAACAGCTACAGCATGTGACCAAATGAAATTCAAAATAGCACTATGTATATATTTTACGTGGTCAAGTAGGTACATCGGTTTATCAGTATTTTCTTAATCCCCGATTTTACTCATAATCTTTTAAATGTGCTTCATTTGATCTTTTTTGCAATATTTTATATTTCAGAATAACTGTACATGCTTTGGAGGAAATTTAGCTGAAATAGAAACAGAAGTTGAGAGCGTGTTTCTCACAAATGAGTTATTCACAAGAAACACTGGGGGTAAGTTTGTAATTTTACTAAAATAATCATTTGATATACAACTTTATTTGGTTCTTATTAAGGTGATAATATTTCGAAGAAAATGTTTTAATATGTTTATATATTACATGCAGACAAAATTAATTAATGGGTCCGAAATGTGGATGACTTGGTACTGTTAACATATCTCTAAGCACACTTGTACAGCTTTATGTTATTAAACAGTTCTGTGGTTGTTTTGTACAGTTGCTTTTCTCTCTTGATTAAATACATGCACATGTGTTTTGTTTTTATTATTTATTATTGTAATTATTGTACCTACAATTCATGTACGTGAATTTTAATCACGTATTGACTCAAACATATCGAACACTGATATTTCCATTTCGAAATACATTTCAAGATTGTTTTTATTTTCAGCATTCGGATACTGGTTGGGAGGTTACAACTTTAACAATGACAGTGATTTGGAATGGATGAGCAAACCAAATGAAAGGATGCTTTATAATAATTTTGCTCCTAATGAACCGAATCAACCAGCCAGTGAAAGATGTTTAATGACATATACAAATTTTAATTTTGAATGGATAGATGTTAATTGTCACATGATAGCAGCATACATATGTGAGTTTTGAATCAGGATGCATATGGAACAGGTGGTTAGTTTCACATCGGCTGTGTGGGACAAATTAATTTTGAAAAGATTTTGTTCATATAGAAAATGTATATGATTCTTCTCCAGTTTATATGATGATATTATATGTCTTTATATTTAGCTAAATCCCGTATTTCTTGAAATCTACTTTCTATATATTTATGAACTGTTCATGTTGAAGCGTTTCGTTTGTATGATTTGTCTGCTAATTTGCCCAACTTTGATATTCAATATTCATCACAAATTCCCTTTTGTTACAAAGACCTGTCTCCCCAAACCTCGATATATCCCAAATACACTGTTAAACATATTGTGTATAGTGTCTTACATTTTTGTCTAATAAACATTTGTTAAGTATAACATGCATTATTTCAGTGCGTGTTGAGTAGATTGTATCACTGCATACCATGTTACTCTTACTTGCAAAACATGTCAATGAAAGATGTTATTGTACTGATTGAAAAAATACAATTATCACTCACACAAGTTTCTCAATCCACAAAATACTAAATTAAATGATATACTGCTGATATATTATAAAGCTCTTCAATATGTCGTTTTTCCTAACTGTACATCCCAATTGGAAGCATGACAAACATTCTTTTATGTGTAACAATCAGCCAATTGAAACATGTTGTCATGCGTCCAAATCGAGAGTTTTTATACATGTACTGTAATATAGTTTTATGTTGTGTTACCAACAATGGTCTGAAAAGTCTTCTTTTGGTATATGAGGTCAGTTCAGACATAATTTCATTCTTATAAATTGAGATAAAACTTATGTTTACCCGTTCGATCTTCCAGTACAAATACAGTATACATTCGATACATATATAGCCTTTTAGCTATCTGGTCTTAAATACTGTGCACTTTACATCGTTATAGCATGATACGTTAATATATGTCAGATTCCACATACTAAAATGGCATCAGCGTGAGTTTGGCTTTTCGGGTAAAAACTAGAAACGATTCTTTTGAGTCTTGACAATTATCAACTCAAATATCTTTTATCATCCAATCGGACTCACAAGACAAATGTTTTGAATTTTTGAAATAGTTGTCGGACATGATTACAATGTATACATTAGATTGTCATCTGGTTGACGGAATAACATCTTTTCATAGTGATGCAGTTGTAAACGTTTTAACAGCTTATCAATATACATGTAGTTATTTTGGATATACTATAATTCTTTGTAAAGTGTCATTACATTTATTCGTTTTAGTTATTACTCTGCACAACCATGTACATGCGCAATAATAAATTAAAATCATTATGAAACATACTTTTATAGTCAGTATATATGTATGTTAATACAAAACCAGCCTTAAGGGGCTTATGATGCACTGTCGTTTATGTACTAAATAGTAAATGTTATGATTTTATTTTCTAGACAGTTTAAACTTATCAGTTGTGTAATATATTATGAAAATAAAGGTGTAATTATCCAAATGTTTACAGGTTTGATAGGGTGCAGGAATTTGCTGTGCGATTTTTATCTTCTATATAATTGTTGGTGATATTGCAGAAACCCTTGTGAACAATGCTTTCTTTGTGCTACAAAATGTAAATTCGCATATTCGGAGCCAAAAATGAACCTGAAAAAGTACTGGTTATTCTTTGTATGTATCTGCATGTTCATCGTGTGTAAATTAGGATTTGTAATAAAATTTCATGTGTTTTCATATTAAAATAACAACATGAAATATAATTGCAAAAAGGAAACAACTATCCACCAGATCTAGACCACAAAGGACGTTGATAAAAACATCATAGGTTACTAATCATAATGACAACAGACATGCCGGAAAGTAAGCTATATACTACCAAAATACGACAAAATGTGAAACGTTTCAAACGGAAAAAAACAATTGCTGATATTCTCAAGTAATAACTGAAAACAATATGACACATAGTTGTTCGTTTTTAACGTCGTAAGAATAGCTGAAACAATTTTTTTCCTTTAAAAAGCACTTCCGTTTAAAACTTAAAAGACGTCATAAGTGTGCCTAGAATCTAGCCAAAAAAGCTTTAATTTGACATGTTTGACGTGTCATATACGATATCATATAATGGTCAAGTTCATTCTTCCAGCACTAACATTTCTCCTCCGACCATTTATCACTTTCTGGAATTCTTCGTCCTTCAGAGACCAGTTTGGTACCATTCAAACCACATAATAAGTAAGTAACGTTACTAACTTCAAAAAGAATTAAGCAAGATATCTCTTAATCATAAATTTAAAAGTTGTTTTCTACATGTATCGATATCCCAAAAATCGAAATATCACTCAGAGCTTTACATTAGATGTGCGGGAATTTCTCGCTACATTGAAGACCTGTTGGTGACCTTCTGCTGTTGTCTGTTCTATGGTCGGGTTGTTGTCTCTTTGACACATTCCCCATTTCCATTCTCAATTTTATTGTATTAAATGTATGCAAATGTTTAAAACAGTATTTATATAAAGATATCTTGAATTTATAAAAGTAAGGTATTTTTGTAAGAAAGAGAATAGCCTAAATTTTTTGTGATTTATTTGGAATTTAACTTTTTTCTAATTTTGGGATGACTAATTGGATTGTGCCAAATTCCACTGGTAAAAAGTAATGTATGTTCAATACGACAACAAGGTAGACTATATATCAAAACGTCGAGTACAGTTTGAATGATTAGGAATGAGTTCAAATACTTTAGACTGCAAGTAGAAAGAAGTAGAATGCTGTGGACTTATTGCATTACAACAAGTCATGCAGGCAAACCAAGTGCTGCTCAGTCTTTAGTTTATAACATATGTTTATTTTTTTGTCGTCCATTATGTTTTGTCATGGTCTTTTCAGTTTCTCTTCCACTAACATGAATAATGAGTTTGAATATTTCTTTGATATCTTTCACCTTTTTTTATGATTTGCAAAAGGGTTGAGAACATATATCGACCCGCTCCTGACAGTGGAAAGAATTGAGGAATAAGTCAGTTCCTTTGTACTGAATACATTAGTTTATAACGTATAACAAACATTATATGATTGTACATCTTGCCGGCTTTTGAACACGTATGGGATAGAACATTAAGTTATATAAGTTTACCCTTTGACAACAATATAAACATTTAAAAAAAAATTATAACCACACAGCTTATCAGAAAAAAATGTCATTGGATATGCAGTTTCACAAACAATAATTTTTATCATTGAGAAGCTATATATTTCCTTAACAGAACATTACTAACTATCAATAGTAACCCGAATTTGGCTTGAACGGCCAAAAAGGTATTAACGACATTTAAAAAAGATTGATTATCATTAGATAACGATTGACAAAAATTAAAAATTGTTTTTAATGCATTTCAATCCATATCAAAATATTTTAATACCAGTCAAATAGATTTCCTTGCGGTCATTCAAGTTTGTTTCAGATTATGTTAAGCTGTGTCAAACTAATTAGCCACGCCCCCGTTAAAAGAAATCAAACTGATGTTTAATCCTTTTAATTTTTAAAGTGTCCGCCTTTTTGTAAGGTAAATCACTCAAGCAGAACAGCATCCACGTTTAAGTATCGTTAATCCGTTCCTAACGTTATCGATTTTAGTCAGATAAGTACTTCCAACAAATATTCACTGAAAATTAATTACAAATACATTTGTAAACTATTAAGTAATTTATGCTTATGCTTAATGACGCCAGATTTTTAAAATGCAGCGAAAAAATATCCAAACAAAATGTGCTGCCTTGGGGCAAATATCCTTCCTATTTTGGGTTTTTGAAAAAAAGCATTTAATAAACAATTGCGGCTTTTTTTTCTTATTTATTATACAATTAAGACAGCGTCCCCGAAAAGTATTTGTTGACTTATGTAAAGCGTTCCGAATTCACTCCACATTTCTGAATTTATCAACATGATGCAATCAAGATAAAAGAAATTTCAAATGTTCAGTCAAAACAAAAAATACCTTTTTCAGCCAAAATGATCCTTAGGAAAGGATGCACACAAGAGCTAACAGTTCACCTTTTGTTATATTGAACCGATTTGAAAGTCAAACGTAACGTACTATATTTTGATAGATACATTCCGTGTTTTCCCAAATGAATGCTTGGATGATAATAGGTTTTCTTTTATTATTATTTGAAAATTAAGTCCTGGTAAATTTTTACAACTGAAAAACCACCGAAACCATTTTTAGTTTGACAGTCTATTGTTGACGACTTTTTTTGTTTATTTGTATGGTTGAGTTGCTGTCTCCCTAGCGTATCTATCACATCTCCTTTTATTCGTATAGTGTTTTCGAACATGTACGCGACTTTAATATCGTCACTAAAATCGTGTGATTCACACAATACTTAACTTTGCTTTATATTTTCTTATTTTCACATGATTAATATACAAATAAGAAGATATGGTATGATAAACAAATTCGAATATTTATAGTATATAACCTCGCTATTTTCATGATCACAAAACTGTCAATGTGTGCAACATTGATCTTCAGTTATGACATTTTTTTTTATTTGAGTTATTGACAAACAATCGCAGTTTTTACACGATCCTTCGTTCGCCATTCTGTAAAAAAACTTGAGTATTTCCTTCTTAACGGTCTTTTTTCCTCAATTATTTTTAAAAGAATTTCAAAACAATTGATGGACTTTTTCAAAAAGATGTTTGTCTCATCTGTAAGCTAGAGTAATATTGCGTTGTACATATACATGCATGTTGAAAAAAAAATGTAGGTATCTATAACAAAATTAGCAGTTCAAATACTGATTCATGGTTTTCATATTATCAGAAGTCCTTTCTAGTTATCAGAAGTGCATTTTCAAAATTATTTGTTGGGCTTGATACAAATTATTTAACGAATGTCAAAGTGGATAGTCTACTGAGAAACGTTACGCAGTGCTGGTAAATCATTTACCTTTATAATTTTAATTTTTACGTCGAAAATCGATTCAAATGTTCATATGAAAATAAGAAGATGTGGTATGGTTGCCACTGATACAACTCTCCTCTATAGACCAAGTGACATAAAAGTATAGAAATCTAGATCACTTTATGGACTTCAACAACGAGCAAAACCCATAATAGTAAAAGTCCCCGAAATGACAAATGTAATACAATACAAACGGGCGGGAAAACTAACGTTCTGATTTATGTACAATACTATTATGTAAAAAAACGAAAAACAAAAATGATATACAGTAACAAATTTGAAAAACAACGTAACTGATTACAGCAGGGGCGGATACAGCAAACGGGTGTTCCAACTTATTTGCCCCTTGACATGTTATATCAGAGACATATATACACATTTATATGTCTCTGGTTATATGAAGTGTGCATATTTGCACTAATACAAGTACACCACGGCTGATATGATTAAATTATACCTCAATTATATATATATATATATATATCCGTGCGTGTATGTGTGGGTGTGTGTAAGGGTGTGTATGTATGTGTGTAATTATGTGTGTAAATATATGTATATAGATATATTTGATACTGATGAGGGTTGTATATAATGCTACGGCTTAAGTCAAGTATTTTCGTTGAAAAAAAGATGCATGTATGGCATGTTGTGTGATTGCTTATTTAGTTATCAAATATTACTGGTACTAGTATTCACTGTATTGTACTGCGTGTATCATAGCACAGAACGACCATGGCAAGGATTGAGTACTCAAAGTCAATTATTTCAGGCTACCTATTCCTTTTTTATGATACTGTTTCAGACTATGACTAATATTATTGCTATTTAGCATAAGTAAAAGTCTTTATTGTCATATAAGTATAGTACACTGAAAATTGACCATATATTTGTGACGAATATAGCAGGCTTTTGTATGCTTGTATTTTATTCTAATATATATAATAGTAATATTGTTCATCAGTACTGGAAAGTAATTATGATTTGCGAAAAAGGCAGTTTCGTTATGTGGGAAGAATCATAAAAGTGTTGTTTTTCTAAATTCTATATATTAACGTGGACATCGATTCGTACAGAAACTCGGATTGAAAAAAATTCAATATTGTGTATCCAATTGAAAATTGAACGCGGACTTCAATGAGAACACCAGGATTGAAAGTTTTAAAACGTTCCGACCAATGAAATTTATTTGATTATGTACCCACGCGGACTTCAACGAGAGCACCTAGAT